TTCACTAGACTGGGTATGGGTGAATGATGACGCTCGCTTGTGTTGTGATCGAAACGTCATAGTTTTTTGTTGTTATTTTTTTTGTTATTTTCTTTGAACCTGTCTGCGCGACTTTACCGAAAGACTCAAAGAATACAAGAATATGTTGAGCAAGGGTGCAGCAACAGAAAGACAATACCGTTGGGTAAGGGCTTCAGGATTTATTATCACTTGTAGCTGGAAATTATGGGAGTCTACACTCCAAGCACATTAGGTACAGTTTACCCTTCTTACATACCCCCTGATGGCAAGGCTATAACCAATTATCCATATTACTGCATACAGGAAAGGCTCTAAATAGTGTTCATGACAGTTTTGGGTGAGCGCCCGTTTAGAACCGCGCGGGGGTGTGTGTGACAAGTTGGATTCGAAGTGTCATCTGGTGATACTGGGCATTTGTTCACTATGGAACTCCCTATTGTACCTCTTCCCTGCGTATCAAGCTTGCTTTGTCTGTGGAAGCCGTTGTGAGTCGGCCCACATCTGCTGCGCACAACAGTGCCCGCAGGCCCGTGTGTCCCCTCCTGCAACTTAGTCTCTGTGCCCTGACGCTGCCCACTCTATTCGCTGCTGCACGCTTTGCTGGTAATCGGAGGCCAAGCACTGCGGTCGCTTCTCTCACGTCCTCGCCCACTCTCCCAGGCGTGTTGCAAGTTTGTTTCACACGCGGGAACCCCATATTAGCCAAAATATTCTATCAAACTGTGGAGAATGAAACACAGGAAGAGTCATCCCCTCCTCGCTTGAAGTCTGGTTGACTGCAGAGCTGACTGGAGGTGGGAAGTGCTCTGGTGGTCTGATACTGCCTCGCCTGGCCTGCTTTTTTTACACCCAGGTTCCAGCCACACCGAAGGTCTTTCCCAACCCCTGCCTCTTTATTCTCAGCTAAGTCAAACTAGTTCTAGCTATAGCCTTTTAATATGAAATAAGTAATATTTAAAAATATATTTTTAACACACTTTAATGAAATATACCGTGCTCGTAATAGCAGAACTCGAGGAAGTGGCCGCAAAGCTTGCTATGACGTAAGGGGCCGTGGTGATTTACAGCCAACATCAGTTGAGCGTGGACAATTAGACCCATGCCGAAACATAACATAAAAAGAATGTTTAAATTTTTTTTATATATAGAATATAGTATTGTCATCAGTATGACATAAGTATACCAAGTTTGCAGTCGATATCACATTGGGAAGTGGGTTAAAATTGAGTTACAAGATTTGAGGATACTACAACAACAACAACAGACAGAGTGAGTTAAATAAAAGCGTGTAAAAATGTAATCACCATACGGGTGTACATTTCTGCAGGGTTTTCATATGCAGTGGTGCATTGCAGACGGGACAAACATTTTGTAGCAATGTATACAATGCCATTCAAAATGTTGATAAATGTTGCATTCAATGCCACTTGGTGCATTGTAACATTGATCAATGTGCAAAACTTTATGAAGCAATTTTTTACAATTTATCAAACTGCATTTGTACTATTATGAATATGACCATGTATCAGAGGAGTTATACTCCTACCCTCAAGTCTGAATGTCTCCCACAATCACCTTTTTTTACCTCACATACAACTGAAAAAGCCTCGTTTTTATAACGCGTCTTCTTGATTACCATAATTCCATAATCGCCAGCAACCAGCTTAAATCACTGTGTGCTGCTTAAGTCTCTCTTAAAGCTTCTGCCAGACTTCACACTCTCACTCATGAATGACCACATTGGCTAAGTTCTCCAATTCTCTATACTGACAGTCCACCTGTGGATAATTTGCAAGACTTTAAGTTTTCAACAACTCCTCTCGTCTTGTTCCTCTCTCCTCCAGCAAACATTGTCCACCTTCGATAGTCCCGACCCAAGCAATTTGATGAATTCTCCATTTAGAGTTGCAATCTTATTCAAGAATCCTTTGAGCATATCTATTGTTGGGAGTATACATCGCTTCTAGTGCCTGCAAGAGTTTACATGACCCAATTCAATTCAACCATTATGTCAAAGAACATTTCCTGTCGTGTCATGCTTTTAAAGGTACTGTGCCACGCCGCTAACTCCAATATAGCGGAATGTAAATTGTACAGGTGAGTGGGGAGGAAAGATACTGCTGTGATGTCCCTTGTTATCCGTGTTTTAGTTTAAAATTATAGTTGGATGGTGTATAAGCTGGATAAAGTGGAATGCATATTTTAGAAAAGTTGATGAAGGTGCAGCCCTGCAATTTATTGCGAACAACACTTCTGGCAGAAGGGCCTCCACTTGAGGGAGCTCGAGAGGAGCCTTTATAGCAGCGGTCGGGAACCTATGGCTCGCGAGCCATATATGGCTCTTCCGGTGACGGCATATGGCTCCCAGACAATTTTGAGTTGAAAAAAATAAATAATAAAAAAATAAAAATAAAATCAGTTTGGAACTGATTTTAAAATACTTGTGATATTGCTTAATAATACTGTGTCATTTTAAAGTAAACAGAAATTCGTTTTGAAGATAAAATTTCTCGGGTCACGGGTCCCGTGACCAGAAGTCGCATTAAAAGTAAGACATATTTAATTTATTATACGTTAAAAATAATATATGGCTCTCAATGAAATATATTTAGAAATATTTGGCTTTTATGGCTCTCCCAGTCAAGAAGGTTCCCGACCCCTGCCTTATAGGTTCGATTTGGCCAACTATTCCATGCAGACAGATGTCTTGGAAGAGGTGGGAGTATCCACATTTTATCTCACGGCACGCAACCCACCAATGGACAAGCTGTAAAGTACCCCGGAGATAGAACTTCATTCGTTCCAGAAGGCCATTCGAACGCCGAATTAATTTTCCCCATAAGAATTAATGTAAATGACATGAATTGGTTCCAGACACAAGAAAGCGCTCATTGTAAAGCATTTTTACACGAAGTTTACAGTAATTACATGCATAAAAGCATACAAAAAAACCAAGAAACACAATAAATAAATGGAATAAATGAATAAATATATGGAATACATGAAATAAATGAACATTGAACTTCACTTTACCTGTAGTAAGGAGAGTTAATGGCTTGAGTAGAAGATGGTGAGTGGAGGTGGTGGTGTTATTGTTTGGAAGGGGGGAGTCCCCTTTGTCTGGGCAAGCGTCATGCACGCTGGCCATAAGCGTCTCAGTCTTACAGGTTCTTTCAAGTCGCGATTGCCCGTTCGACCTACGAATTTCGTTCGGTTTCCGGGGCAAAAAATGTTCGGAAATATCGTTCGAACATCGATTTGTTCGAGTTCTGGTGCGTTCGATCTCCGAGGTTCTACTGTATATCCTGCTGGGTGTGGACAAGTGAGGGAATTAGAGGAACTTGCCAACTGCTTACATTTTCACAACACCGGTGGCCTCTGGATTGAAAAGGCCAGTTTATTAATCGTTACTCCAGCAGCAGTCCCAACTCTAATATTGCAGGAGCAGAAAGTGTCCTCGCGAGTGGGGAGTGCTGCTGTGATGTTCCTTTCCTTGGGGATTCCGCCGCTTGGGATGAAATTGTATTCAGATGCTTTATAAAGCCCAGATTTCATCCGAGTGAATTTCTTTGAAACATGTATTAGTTACATTGGTAAAGATGTACATTGCACATGTGATTGCAGTGTGCACGGCACTGTTTCCAAACGCCTTTTGTGTAACAGTGATGGATGTTTAGGCTTTTGCGCTCAATTGTAAACTTATTTCCCCAGTGCAGAAAGCCCATGTTAAAGTTATCAATGTTATTTGGGACTTTATCACGAGAGATGTGACTGTTGAATTGTCAAAGCTTCACCATTAGCGTATGATTAAATGTATAAAAGCTTTAATGCTTACTTAATTTACTAAAACTTAATATTTCTTTTTTTTTTAAGAAATGTTATCTTTGAACAATTTTGATCCATTTAAAATGCTCGCATAGCAATGCATAGAAGTTGCGTAGCACAGAATGGCATAGATCCACTCAAGTGACATCCATACTAGGTGAGGTGTACGTTCTCACAAAACCAATACTGTGTAAGCTGTTCATGCCACATCATTGAATCTAACATTTTACTTTTTAATTGGCTTGAGCGATAATTTTTGAAAATTACATTTGAATTTAATGTAATATCAATATTGTTGTGATTTTATTGGTGGCTGGGCTGAGACTCCCCCCAACTCACTCCATTTTAGAACCTGGCTTAGTGCAAGAGGAGTCTAATCTTGATTTGAAGCTTTCGTGACTGCAGGAATCCATACTCATTGGTTCTTTCGGTAAAGTCACGTAGGTAGAAAATAAATTTGCTTTTATTTTATACCTACGTGACTTTACCGAAAGAACCAAAGAGAATTAGGAGGAGCCTGTTTGCAATCGAACCCAGGATCTCAGCAGTTCCAGCTCCACTCTGACTCCTAAAAGTGACCCGGCCACCATCACCCAGGCAACCGATTTAAATTCAGTACCAGAGGGCCTTCATGAAACCAAATATATAATTAATGAATCGTCACAAGCTCTCAAGTGGTTAAATACAATTGAAAACTCAAAAATAATCACGTGGCATATTATGATGATAGCTATTATCATAATATGTCACGTGATTTTTTTTTAGCTTTCAATTGTATTTTTTTCTCATTGTGTAGACTCTTTTTGCTGTTTTTGTAACTTTGGTCTCCCTAAGGAAAGCTCGTTTTCAAAAAAGGTTATCTATACACAGATACATTAATTGATTAAACAATAGCGGTTGTAACTATTTTTTAATATAACTAATACTGAAGGCAATGCTCACGTAAAAAAAAACTCAGTGTCATTGAAACAACAGGCCAATTTATATTCTTGGTTCTTTCGGTAAAGTCACGTAGAAGGGAAATAATAAAATAATATAGATATAAAAAATAAAATTTATCACGACGTTTCCACTGCAACACAAGCAATCATCATCAGGTGTGAAATCCACAGCAAGAAATGTCTTAAATCCTCCTGTCTCTGGCCACCCTACAGCAGCAAAATACTCGAAACACATGTTTATAAATGTGGAGGGAAAAACTGGAGGACCGGAGAGAACGTGCAAACTCCAAATATACAGGCGTCAGGGCCCGGATTGAACCTACGGCTTCCTATATACCAGGCAAGGGAATTCATATTTCGTCACCTTGGCCAACATGGCAGAGCAGGCAAAATGTCCACTCAATGTTTGCACTTAGGCTCACTCTAGGGAGGCCATTCTGCCAGCAGTGCTGTGATAAAGTAATCGCAGGGCTTGTATCTTAACCTTACCTTTGTCATTAACGAATGCTGTGTAACAGAAAAATATATAATAGGTTGATGTTATGGGCAATGGTCCTTCTCCATAGCAGATAAATGGCTGAATGACTTACTTTTAGAACGGTTGACTCTTTAATGTGGTGATAGTCATTGTGATGCCTTAGATTTGACAAAATTGATCCATGAAATAGCATCTCAATGTATTTCTTAAAATGTCCCAGTTTTATTAAGCCACCGACACTAATGTGCACTGTGAACTCTTAATGGTCTTTTGGTCATTTACAAATTAATGTTGTTGTGTTCATTAATTAAAATGAAGTGAGTTCAGCAAAGTGATCCCTCGTTTAACAGGCGCCCGTCGTGTTCCCCGCAGCTGAACCGCGTGGCACAGCAGCCACAGGACCTTATGCAGATGCTGCAGTCGGTGGTCGGAGTCGGGAGTGGCACTGATGCCCTGCAGCAGCAGCAGCAACAACTACAGCAGCAGCAACTACAGCAGCAACAACAACAGCAGCAACAACAACAGCAGCAGCAGCAGCGTACAGTCGATCCCGCATCAGTCCAGACCGAAGCTCCACCACCACCACCCCCACCTCCACAGGTCCGGGCAGCACCTGCTCCCTCCAGCGCCGATCAGTCAGCGGTCGCCACCCAGCCGCCAATCGGGCAGGGCGACGCCTACGCTGCTGCAGCAACAACACAGCAGCAGCAGGAGAGCTACCAGAGCACGTCGGCTGGGGCATCGTCTGACGGAACCTACGGGCAACAGGCAGCTGGAGGGCAGCAAGTGACCCCGTCTCAGGTCAAGCAGCAGGCAAACTCGCGCACCAAGGCGCGGCTGGTGTGCGCCGCCTGCGGCAAGGAGTTCAAGGACCGCTACCACTTAAGGCGGCACGAGGCGACGCACACACGCACCAAGATTAAGGGCCAAGGCTCCTCAGCATCACTGGTAGCGGGCAGTGCTGGCACGTCGTCCTCGTCGCAGGCATTCATTGCCGCTGCGCACCCCAACGGGCAGCTGGTGGCAGCGGGCGGTGCAACCGCAGGCCAAATCCTGGCGCAGGCCACACCGACGGCACAGATCATCGCAGCGGCTAGCCCCGCAGGGCTGCTGTCGACAGGTGGTGCGCCACAGATCATCGCCACGGCCGGGCAGATTGTGAGTCCTGCGCAGCTGCTTGCGTCATCCGCGGCAGCAGCGGCATCGTCGTCTTCGTCGGCTGAGCAGCAGGTGCACACGGCGGGAGCCGGCGACTTGAGTGCGTCGCAGCAGCACCACCACCATCACCACCACCACCACCTGCTGGCAGCGGCAACTACCGCCGGCAACGCGAGCGCAGCGCAGTACGCGTACGGCAAGCCGTGCGTTGACGGGGGTGGTGGGGGCGGAGGTGGTGGGGGTGGGGGTGGTAGTGCGGCTGCAGCGGCACACTTTCTCACCATGCCCGTTTTCGTGATGACGAGCGCCGGCGTGACACCCTTTGACCAGACGTCGGCACAACCTGTGCTTGCGCAGCAGCAGCATCACCATCAGCAGCAGCACCTTGGTGGACAAGCCTCGCAGCAGCAGCAACAGCAGCAGCATTTCACAACAGTGGATGTGGCCATGGTCAGCAATGGCCTCATCCCAGGCTCGGAGCAGAGCTTCGACGCGTCGGGCACAGTGGGGACTGCGGGGCAGCCGGCGTTTGGGACTGTCGCGGCAGCCGGGACAGCTCCGGCAGCGCCAACCGGCAAGAAGTCGCGCAGCGGTGCGTCTGCAGTGAACGGAGTGAGGCGTCCCTGTCAAGAAAAACCACGTGTGCGAGGTTTGCACCAAGGCCTTCCGCGACGTCTACCACCTGAACCGGCACAAGCTGTCGCACTCAGAGGAGCGGCCACACTCTTGCCCCGTGTGCCACAAGCGCTTCAAGCGGCTCGACCGCATGAGCGCGCACGTTCGCGCGCACGAGGGTGGCCCTGAGCGGCCCTACGCCTGCCCTGCCTGCGACAAGCGGTTCTCTCGGTGAGCCACGGCACATCACGCGCGTGTGTTTTTTTGAGCTCCTCCCGCAGGGAGATGCGTATTGGATCACATCTTTATTGCTCTTTCCCAATCTCCTTTGTCCACACTTTATCTAAAGTTACAAGGCTTAGATTCATTGGAAGCTCTTGTCATTCAAATCGTGAGCACGTGCAAATTTACAAAGCCACTACTCAAATATTCCCATTTTAGGCCATTGCTAAAAGGAGAGTGCCACGTGATAGCACTGCATGCTGGTGATGTCTGGGAGGCAATTAGTAAAATATGCACTCAGACACAACCACAACAATAATATAACTTCCCATAATAATTACTTGAATAATACATAACGAAAGCAAAACCTTAATAGTCAGTGTATTTAAGAACTTTGGTGCTGTGGCCTAAGTTGCATTGGAGTACAATATATTTTGGTAACAACTTCCTGCCGCTGGCAAAGCTCTCATGGATCTTTATTGACTTCGGCTTGTTTGTAATGGCTGCTGAGCTAGATGTTTGCGTCGATGTGTTTCTTTTTCATTAAAATGTTTCAAGTTTAATTTGTTTAACTATAGGTGAAAACTTGAGGGGACCAGGATGGTCTCATTTGCCAAGAGTGACCTTGGGTACCCAATGTGAGTTTTGCTCCTGTGTCTTCTCAGCCGCGACCACCTGAACAACCACGTGAAGCGCGTTCACTCAACGGAGCGACCCTTCAGATGCCCGGTATCCATTTACACGCAAACAACAACAGCAACCTCGTGATTAGGCTTGTCTTGACTGTCGGGTATCGCTGTCCACTGCACGCCGTTGGTATTACAACATTAGCAAATTCCTGGAGGCCTCAAACGAATGCAGACCGAGTTTTGAGATGATTCACCATCCCCGCCATTCAATGAATTTCTCACCATTCGGTCACAATTCAATTTTAGAATTAAATGTTTTTCGTGTCTCGTTTTACTGCGTCTGTTGTACCGATTATCTCTATTGGCCTCAAGGAAACGAAAGCACAAATTGTGTTGTCTTTGTACCATATCGACTGTCTGCCTTAATTGTAATATCTGTTCTTCATCCTTTGTATCTTTTGTACCACTGTCTTGTGAGCACTGTCCAGTTTATAATGTATACCATGTTCTGTCTTATCTGTCTCATATCGAGTGGATTTTTGGTTTAATTAGCTCCATTAGTCCAATTGAAACAATATAATGCGTGCACATACTCAAAGTCAAATATTTTAAATGCGTGATTCAATACATGCATTGTGAGCATAAACATTTCATAAATCAATTAATCGCAACATGCTTCATCGGCAGCCACCGTTAACCACAATGGCGGGTGCACTTCGAGACCACATTTATTGGTGAAGGCTCATGAAAATAAGTTTAATACAAGATAGACCCAGGTGATAAGTATTTCAGGGTAAGGTAACTAGCTGGTAGGTCTACCCTTAGTACTCTCCATAGTACCATTTAGTTGTGTTTTAGCCACCCGACCTGCTTGTTGTGAGCATCGCTCTTCCGCCTCCTCAGAGGCTGATCCTGACACCGCTGATACCAACTTGCTGCAAGTCCACTCAGCACCAGGTCTTCCTCTACCGCTTCAGACGATCTCTTCACCCCTTTATGTGCGTTTATATCTTCATACATTTGGCCATATGTGCATATACACACGCGCCAGCGTGCGTGGTTGTGCCTTTGAGTGCACTACTGAGCAGAATAGGAGCATCTGGAGCTGAGAGAACTTGCCACTTGCTAGTACCTACTGTCTTAGGATACTTGGGAAAGGTTTCGCAGTGTAGCTGATTGCAACCATACCTTCAGCAATGGCAGTATATCGGACAAACAGGCTCACGGGAATGAGCCGAGCATTGCGTGGCCGAAAGACAGTCGCTCTGATAAATTTCTCCCGCGCCTGTTCAGTGTCCCCCTGTTCATAGGCATTCACCTCCTCCACCCGCATTACAATTACCTGGGGTCTGTCCTCTGACCTGTCAATGTGCCATGACAACTCCATCTGCAACAACTGGGTTTGTCACCTGTCCTCCCATCAGTAAGCCTCCGCCACTCCAACTGCAACATGCGTGTCTGACTGAAGACCTTTCCGCGTGCCTCTGTATTCCACCTACACGGAGTTAATTCTGCCTAGAAAAAGTTATTTTTTAGCTCAACATCAAATGCAGGAGGACTCTTTTTGAAATTGTCGTGAGACTCGGCGAGACGATGTTATTGTTTTATGTTGTATTTTTTGTGATTATGCAATACTTCCCCTACTGGTTATTTTAGGAATGGTCACTTTTATTTGAGGATCCATTCTTTTTTTTGTGTTTTTACCTTCTCGTGTGTATTGTTTTTCATTTATCTGTCTTGTTTGTACAATTTGTGCACTGAATTTGCTTAAAAATAATTTAAATATATTGTTTGCATGTCATTTGTATAATTTGTAAATCAAATCTTCATAAGCAATTTTATGCATGTATTCTGAACGTGAAAATATATTTGGTTAAATGAATCGATGAATATGCATCATTACATGCCTAATTTTACATTTGAGCCCATTAAGCATTTACTATTAAAAGTGAAGCTTTCCTTTGTTTACAATATTTTAATATAATAGTAGGTTTTTACCCTTTTAACTGGTACAAAACTGACACCTTTATTCAAGGCATCATGTTTGCAATGACCACAACACAAGTAGTCAAAAAAGCAAACAAAAAGAAGCAACTCTGATAAGGATGATAATATGCACTGTCCTTGAAGTTGATTGGCCCACACCCGAGACGGCTTTCTTTAGAGCCTAGTCCCCATTGGTGTAGGGCCAGATGACACCAGAAGGCGTACAACTCAAACAAACATGATGCCTTGAATAAAGGTGTCAGTTTTGTACCAGTTAAAAGGGTAAAAACCTACTATTATATTTTGCCACTGGTAAAAGAGATCTCATAGTGAGAATATTTTAATAGTTATTGTTTTATAAAATGTCAGCAGAGGGCAGTGTTGCAGAATCCATATGTTCTCTACTATACTCCAACGCTTGTGCTTCGTGCTTGTATCCAGCCACACTGACCAGTGTGGTGAAAGTATGATCCATAACCCCTATGACCATCATGGTGTGCGAAGGCCCTCATCCAGCAGTGGAATAATAAACTGGCAGAACATGTACTTTCAGTGGCGTAGCTATCGAGTGTACAGGCCGTGCATCTGCACTGGGCCCCAACGGCAGTTTGGGCCCAGATTCCATTCTATGAAGAGGGGTAGAATATGGACAGGGGCCCCATTTTGTTCCTTACATGCCAACCACGCTTTGCCATTGTGTGCATTATGTAAAAAGAAAAATCCTCAACTCTCCGCATTCAACACATCTATGAGTTGCAAAATGTGATATATTATTTGGAAAATACTTGATTGGGAAAGATCTGAATCCTGCTCATTTATAGGCTGGTGCTGCTTACACCTTGTGCCACACAGGGACAGTTGCCAAATGGGGGTTGGTTTGGTATGACTGCAGCAGGGTATTTGAGTGCTTCAGGTGAGATGTAAGGCGCTTTGAGTAGCATAAGGCATTTGAGCGCCTGGTAAATAAAAATCCTTATCCTTAATCAAGTTACCCTTTTCCCCCATCAAACCTTTCTCCCTACTCCTCGCCCCCCCCCCCCCCCCCAATATCTTTCCATTTGTACACCCTCCCTGGCTATAACCCACCCAAACAGACTTGTGACTCGGCGTTTGCGACGCGCGACCGTCTGCGCGCCCACATGGTGCGGCACCAGGAGCGCGTGCCGTGCCGTTCGTGCGGAAAGCCGACACGCGCCACGCCGGGACGCGCCGCCGCTGCCGCCGCCGCCGCCGCTGCTGCTGGCGCTCACCAGGGCGAGCAGCAGGGGGCCCCGGCTGCCGGCGCCTCGCACGCAGTGTGCAACGCGTGCCACAAGGCAGCGCAGGCTGCGCAGGCGGCCGGGGGATCGGCGCTTGTCCAGCAGACAGGCCAGCTGGGCGTGACGGGGGCGTCGGCGCCTGTCGTCTGCATCAAAAGTAAACGGGACACCTTTGACAGCAATGCAAAGGCTCATTGAGAGCTTCTGTGGTGCAATGGCTAACACACACTGGACTTGCGATCCAGAGGTCACCATGTAGAATGCAATGCATTTTACATGGTACATGTAATTCTAGATTTGAAGTTTTCGTGACTGCAAGGATCCATACTCTTTGGTTCTTTCGGTAAAGTCACTTAGATGAAAAAAAAATGAAAATAACTAAATGTGATAGAATTTAGTTATTTTCATTTTATTATTCATCTACGTGACTTGTACATGTACTCTTAGTCTCCTGTACATACAACATATATCATCATCTAGATGACAGGTCATGCTTACATTCTAATGTTTGCAGTTTAAATGGTTGAATAGCAAACGAGAACGGAATTTTTTTCAAAGCTAATTTAATTAGCAGTAGTGTAGGGGGGCATACATGGAAAATACTTTCCTCCGTTATCATTGACAAACTGCCTTAGATTTTGAAAGGTATATCTTAAACTAACACCCTGGGTAATTGCCATATTCTGAGAAGCAAAGTATGTATTTTCAAATGTAGACTTCGGCTAGATCGATTTAAGTGAAGTACCTAATTTTTTTTATTTTGGTGCATTTACCAGCGACCGGGATAATACTGTCAATGCTTGAGAACCTTGTTTTATTGTGAGTGATGGTCTTGATTTTAAACTTGAGGTGGTCTTTCCAATTCTTTAATTACAGTGCCAATTATTGGTTCAATTGACTAAGCAAATAACACGAAAATAATTGCTAAAAAGTCACACATCTGTTCCCATGCATGCTTTTGAATGGTTGAGGGCAATGCATAGTGATATCCTCAACATTGTGAGACACTTAAATGGTTGCTCGACTTTTGGAGGCAGAATGTGGGGGTGGGTATTGTCCATTTATAAAGAAAGCTGAGTAATCAACCACAAAAAGAATCGTTTATTTACATTTTTAGTCAATTCATTGACTAATTGTTCCACCTCTAATTTATATCCGGTGTCTGATGTACTGGCTCGGTGAACTTACATGAATATCACACTCGTGAGACATTTACGTCTTTAAAAATGATGTGGCCGTCATGAGCAGTTGCTTATTTGAATGAGATTCCATATGTACTAACATCGCTTTACTCATGCCACATTGTACCTTTGTCTCTCTCGCAGCCGAGGTGCTTCCACCAGCACAGCCCACGGATATGAGGCAAGCTTACTTCTCTGCCTTCTAGGTCAGTAGGTGAGTGTTCGAACGTGCGTACGTCTGCAAGCATCATTAACCCGTAGAGATCATTCAACGTTATTTGCGTTTCATCGTGAGTGTACAAACTAGGCAAGCAATGATTTCGTCCCCCTCTCATCGTTTTCGTGGTACTGGAATCGTCATTTGATTCAGGAATGACACTCTTATACATCTAGTTTTTGCCTTTGAGGCGACATCTCTTTGGAGTGGCCGCCTTGTTTTTATAGGTAATTGAGTAATTGATTAAAAACAAACTATTATATGACAATTGTTCATTGACTAATTGTTCCAGATCTACTTGTAATCATGTAGGAGAGCTCTTAGTCTGAACAGCTCGGGTTTATTTGGCTTCGTATTGCTGGGGTTGGTAAAATTGAGTTCCCGTTTGGTGACTTGCCCCATGATCGAAAGTAAAGAGAGTAGTCATTTGGAAAGCCTTGGTCCTGCCATAAGAATGTGAGATATCATTCACTGCCTCAGGACCACTAATCTGGAAGAGATCGCTTCAAAATATTTTAAATACTTTTTTTTAAACACGCTTTAATGAAATGTACCGTACTCGTAATGGCAGAACTCCACGACTCCAGGAAGTGGCCCCGCAGCTTGCCATAGTGTAAGGGACCGTGGTGATTTACAGGCAACGTGAGTTGAGTGTGGACAATTAGACCCGTAAAAAATATTGTTGAAAAATAGATAATTTTAATGATAGAAAATAGTTTTGTCATTAGTATGACATACTTATACCAAGTTTGCAGTCGATACGACATTGGGAAGACGGTTGAAATTCAGTTACAAGATTTGAGGATATAACAACAGAGTGAGTTAAATAAAAGCATGTAAAATGTATAAAAATATGTTTTTAAATTTGTATGATAGAATATAGTCTTTTCATCAGTATAACATAAGTATACCAAGTTTGCAGTCGATAGCACATTGGGAAGTGGGTAAAAATTGAGTTACAAGACTTTTAAGGATACGACAACAGACGGAGTGAGTTAAATAAAAACATGTAAAAATAGTTATTTCGCTCATTGTGCCTTATCTGGTGAAATAAAAAATAGTTTAAGTTAGTTTAGTAGGACTACCAGCGAAAGGTCATACCCAATTGTTAAATGTTATTGCTTTCTCTCCAACACTCCAACATACCGGCGTGCTGAAGCAGTGAAAAATTGGCACGTTTGTTTTTGTAACAATTTAATTAAATGGCTGTTGGGTGGTGGAAGGGTTTAAGGCACATTTTACTGACATCTAACCAAAAATTTAATTGTGCATCTCTCTATTCTTTCTCTTCTCTCCCTGTGTGTCGACCTCCATCCCCAGCAGACAGGACGATCTGATGGGATTTTTATGGATCTGAAGTGAGGATGAAATCACATCGGGGGTCCCACTTAGAAAAATCCACATTCAACACTACAAGCATTTTGAGAGAAACTGAAGCAAGTCCTTTTTTTCCTTGTTTTTTTTTTACTATTACTAACAACAGCAACAAAAACATAAACTGACTGAGGTCTACTTGTATTTGTGTGCATTTTTTAGTTTCATTTGTATTTTTAATGGAAAAAAAATAGTTAACCACATTTTAAACAAAATGAAAAAAAAAAGATTGTAATGTTTTCGTGTAGTTTGAAAGTTTTAATTTGTAATATATCAGACGTTTTTGCCACATTGGGATTGAGAGAATATTGAGTTTGTTCAAGTGGAAAAAAAATCATTGATATGATCACAGTGATAAGAATTACAACAGCGAGCGGGATTGGAAGTGTGCATGCATCAGTGCGTGTCTTTGAGCTGGCGTAGGTGCATGTGCGTGCGTTCAGCTGCGTTTAGCCGGTCCCGTGGCCTCGCTGATGACCTGGTCTCGGACTTTTGAGGTGTGCGAGTGGTGTGGGGAAAAGTCATACCCAATCCACTGTTAACCACCACCTACCCTCCTCACTCGGGCATACATAACCCTGCCCATCAGCTGTCTCTTCCGTTGTGTACAATTGATTCAGCAGTCGCCCATCAACTACTCCCAATTGCAACCCACCCTCCGAGCACCCCAGCCTAAAACATAACCATGCTGTTGCACCATTTGCATCCGGAGCCGCCATTGACCATGGTCTAAAATATAGCAACAGGAGGAAAACCACTCGAATGGGTCTCATTACTCTGCTACAACGTACCAGATGGCATGCTTCCTTGTATTTTAAAATGTGTTTTGTGGCTTGTCAACACCAGAGTAGGTGTACATTGTAAAATGAATTGCAGTGCATTTAGTAACATGCTTTCATGAAAGAGCTCCATTGTGAAAACAAATAAGAAATGCTGAAGAGCTATATTTTTAAGGATATGATGAAAGTCATTTAGTATTTTAATTGTTACGAATGGAAAATCAAATAAAAAATTGAGACTACTTAAATAATTTCGTGAAATGCAAATTGCAAATGTTAACAAGCATTTTTTGGAAATTCTTAAACATTGTTATCTCTCACTGTTCTGAAGCCTTATATTCTACCATCTCAACTTATCCATCTACTAATGTTTGAGATTGTATGAATCGGTGTGGTTTTACATTATAAATTAGTTTTCCACATTACATGTTGACAAAATGTTTTGTTCACATGTTTCAACCATTGACATTTAAACATTTTAAATAACTCTCTTGTAACAGTTGCACAGATGTGAGTTTTTCAATTATAGCAGTTTTTTTTCAGATAATACAGAATTAATTACGTTTTGTAATAGGTTTGTTACAATTGCAGTTATTTAAATTTACAATTAAAAAAATTACGTCATACTATTGAGACAACTTGAGGATTATGCTCCTGCATTGGATGTTTGGCTTGTTGCTTTGTTCATTCTTTATTGCAAGTGGGATGAGGCAGCGCTTGGAGAAAATGCATGATTCACCTATTTATTTCAGTTTCATTTTACTTAACCCTGATTTTAACGCTCACTGGTACAACATTTTTATTTAACCATTTGAGAACCAATTGAGATTCTTTGTATATTTTCCAATGGGGACGTAAACAACCATAAACTTAACAAGAATTCTTCAAGTAATGTTTTATATTTCATCATCATGAACATCAATCATTAATCCCCAAGCCATATTTGACGGTCCTGTGATGCGACAATCCACCAAGCACCTGCAAACAATTAGATTTAGTGATGAGTTATTGTATTCATCCTTCCATGGAAAGCTTGGACAACCCTCAACCACATGAGGACAGGCCAGGAAAGATGTGTCCACTTGCTCTACAAGTGGAACATAAGGAGCAGCCCAATTTGTGACTGGCCACCCAAGTCAGACATTCGTCCACAAACTGAACTCCTGCCCTGAGAAATAATCCCGTTCCCGGTTACATCACAACTCTGCCTCGCCTGAAGCCGAATTGATTGCTAACCTCAGCATCAAACTGAAACTGCTTCCCCAGCCATACGATAATTTAGGTTTCCAACCAAGATGGTTCACAATAGTGTATCTAATGACCAACCAACGTTTTACGGCAACTGAATACCCCCCATGGTTTATAATGTGCACGTTATCCAGCAGATGGAGCCCCTTGCTAAACTATAAATCTGTTTAACATTCGCTGTTGTAGGGGTTGTTTTATTCTAAAACCCAATACACAACTTGAACATCAAAAAAGAAAACACAGATCACGAGTGCACAACCAAACCTGGAGCAATATGCCCTCAAATTAGGGACCGACTTTAGGCACTTTGGCTGACTGCCCTACCCACCATAAGTGCAACAATCAGGACCACTGTTGTAGTTGAACAATAAAGAATGAGTGGTCGCACAGCATGGGTGGCTCCACAAGCAACAACAACACCATTGCTATCTGCGTGTGTGATTGGCACATCCAGAAGATAACCATCCTGATGTGTTGTGTGTACTAATATGGTGCAACCAGCCCATGATCCTGGAAGAGTCGATGAAACTTTATAGTGTGAGTGCGTAGCAATGTCTAAAATTAGAATAATATCCCCGAGTAGGATTATCGAAGCTGCATAGTTGGCTGTCCTCTCCAAGAGATCAGCAAATTGATTAAAGAATGAGTCGTTGGCTGGTGCTGAAACTGGCCGATTATTTGCCAGCAAGTTCAGCTTGCTGGCCATGAACAAAGACCCCCAATAGCTTCGAAGGTCTGATACGTTGGCAATGCAATTTTGAGAGATGATAATATCTCGCGAGCGAACGAACAGATTCCACCATCATTGGTTCGAACATTTGCGGATCTTGAGGCTGGCATTGGTCGAGTCGGTTGAATATATCTGTCGCCTGTCGGCGTACAGGTAATAAGATGACGACAGTCTGATGCTTGATGCCACTTTCAGTAATGGTGCTCAAATGCAACTGTTCTTGAAGGACGTGATCGTGAATTGACACATACTTATTCCGTACAGACTACGCATTGAACATCACATTTTTGGTGGAGCCTGGTGTATAGAGACGGTTTGCAAAGTTTGCCGCGAAACTCTAGGAGGAATACATCGAGCACCGGACATGTTGCTTATGGCTTGAGCAGTGCTGTTGATGTCATTATTTAGAAGCAACATAACAGGTAGACACGATGTGGATATACAACTGCAACATCATGACGTACACTTATTGTGAGGCCATCTGTTGCTAGCTATCACACTAATATGCGAGTACTTGCCAGGAGTAGGATTTGCACTGCATCTAACTCCTCGGCTATGCCCTCCCCTGCATCCACGTCTGTTGCATTAACGGTAATTGTTGTGACTAATGAGTGGCTCTGAAGACTGCTGAAATTTGACGGAATGCTGGAGGTGAGTTCAAAGCGTTGGTTGAGTAAAGTTTGCCGAGATGGGCACAAGAACGAGGAAGGGGGCAGTGTTTGGGTGGATGCCGATGAGCAACGGAAATCCACCAAAGCAAGCCACTGGCTGATAACCAGCAATGGACCCTTGGACATTGAAAGCCGGGAGTGCGTGGCGCAGCGATACGCTTGATTGGAGCAACAACTTGATGACGGCTTGGCGGAGCAACTGCGCGACCTGGCAGGGTGTGGCGCAGCTCAGAATTGTTTGAAGATGTTCTGAGCTCAACCAAGCACAACCTACCTACATTGTATATTTCTGATGGAAATGCATCCGAACCTGGTGCCATCCATCTTGCCAGAAGGCTAATAGCCTTCTTGGTTTCAGTTAAGGTGGTGGGGATCAGCAAGTGACATGGTGACCTTAACCTGGGGCGTGCGGGTGATTTCTTCTGCGTGGATCGACAAATACCGTTTAAGAACACTTAAAGTGCTCTGCTCATCTGTCAAAGAACTCTAATCAGAGTGGTCCCATCTGTACCAAGGAGAGGAAAGGTTCAGACCTGTGGACCGTAGTCTGTTTTTACAACGTCATAGAAGCACTTCATGTCATTTATATCGGCATAACATTGAATGTCATTGCTTGCCTACGAAGCCAGGACTCCTACATCTCTTGAACCTAACCTGGACAGCTCTGCGGATGTTGCTGAAGTCTGTTGTATTTGGGGATGACATCTTGTCATGGTATTTTTTATGGCGCCAATGTTTCTCACCCACCATGGACTGTATCTGCCTTTTCATCAAACATCCTAATGCTCGTGAGTGGTGGATCCAAGACATTCGAGGGATTAACGTAGACAACATCCCTAAAGGATGTCCAGTTCTCCTTGACACTATTGTGATCAAAGTTGATGGAATCTAGCTGGTTATCGAGCTTTTCACAGAGGGTCTCGAACCGGCTCCCTTGTAAACCTCGATGTTAAAGCCGCTTGCGAGCCATTTTCCCTGAGGGGGGTCCCTTAGGCTGAATGTGGAAATGCAGATTTGAGACAATAGTTGGTCAATCCAGCAGTCTGCACCACAAATGGTGTGATTCCTGACCTTCCTCATCTTTTATAAAAGCCCGACGTTCCTTTTATCAACTAAATAAGAGCCTTTCAGGAGCCCTGACTCAAAAAGGTATAGAAATTGGACCCCCCCCCCCCACCTCAAATGTGGTAAAAAGTTTATCTAACAGGTTTCCAAAAATTGTCGACCCCCTCCCCCCACAAAAAAAAATTCACACCCCCTAAAAAAAAAATGTTTTTTGTAGGCATGTATGCCTGCACACCCTACATACAATAGTCAGTAATATTTGCACACATTGGGGATGAGCGGAAGAAGAGGACATGTTGACAGGCGAAGGCGTAAAGCGCTGAGAAGACCTCCGCGGGAGCTCCGGCCGCCGAAATTCTAGTCTTTTAAATTTTCCATAAAAATATCAGAATCTGCATTTTTATCAATCCAAAACCCATCCCTAGTGCACACATTGATGCTTTTGAAAGCCAATAACTCAAAGTAAATGTTGTCATTTGTGAACTGCATACGTTACCAATTTTAATTTGTTTTAATATTCTGTATATTGCAACTATATTCGCTCACATTACTTGTTATATTAATTCATATGTTTATTTTATAAGCATGGCAGGACATTGGAATAACCCTGTACAAAATCCATGAAAAATCAATCCGCATAAGTGCATTTCATCCAGATCTCCTTTTGCAAGTTGCAAATTAATCTCAGCCGGCTATCGGAGTTAAATAAAGAAAACAAAAACTGAATAGACAATTCGAAATGCCGCCACAAAACATGTTGCAGAGACTTAGACTGCATCTTCAACCACCTGGAATAAGTTCTAAGTGTCCTTACTGAGGAAGTTTCTATTTGATATGTTGATTCCCATGGTTTGTGGTGCACACCCTCTCAAACGTATGCCACTGAAGCATAACTCATTCATGTGAGTGGGGGGAAATGTCGGAAAGGAATTGCGGAAACCAAACTGTACTCCACCGGTTTTGTGGTTGTGCTGTGTAGCTGTCCAATGTGCTTTCAGGTGATACCATGTGTTGTTCAACATGGATATCCGTCGCTTCCCTCAATGTGCTGGGAGCATCTGTAGGAACTTAATTATTCTTTATGAATTGTTCCCATCGAAGCCCTTGGCAAGTGGAACAAAATGTCAGATATACCAAAAAATATGCGGTACAACCCAGAGCTCCAAATTTCCTGGCATCCTTATAATTGACTTCCTCTGATATAATTCCATGCTAGAGCTGCACACGAGGGATCTCTTTCCAACCTCAAAAGTTATCCACAACCCTCTCCAATTTCTGAGACTTATTTTATGCGCTTAGGCAAACAAAGTATTTGCTGCAGCACTGCCAATTTCTCTAACCACGCGGGCAACAACAATTAGCATTGGCACACACTAACATTAGTCCGAGACAAGGCAGGGTGACTGGGTGTGGTGGTGGTGGTGGCGATGGTGGTGGGGTTTTGCTTTGGTTTCCAGAGCCCAGGGCCTTGTGAATGAACTCCCTTTCTCGTTGGGCGGTGGCATCGTGTCGATCGCGTGCTCGGATTCTGAAAGAGTGTGATGTGATTTATTTTCGCGTTTTCTTTTCCTCCGTGGTTTTACTTTTATCGATTTTTAAAACGTGCTGTTATTATGTATCCTATAGACAATGTAGCAGAGAGACATTTAAGCCTCCACCTCGAGCTTTAGTGACATCAACGTGATGTTGAAGGAAATTGTTTGTTTTTGAATAATAATCAACTTTTACTGGTGATGCTTTTCTCGTGTACTTTGGTCAAGTCAAAACCAATTGCTCATGTTGATCCAGCCCATCATTCCTCCAACGTTATTTAAAATTGGTACCTTTGTGAAAGTTAAATGACTTTTGGAATGGTTCTTGCAACAGTAATTGTGCATTTCCCACCATTGGGGTTGACAGATGAGCAGGGCCAAAACCTCGTTTGAATTTGGAGAAGCTTAGACATGAGTGTAATACATGGAGTTATGTTAATGTTGTTCATTTATATATATTGCATAATTTGAGTTTTTCTTTTATAACATGCAGCTTATAAATGGACGTAGTAACAACAGCTGCATGGTTATGAGACTTCACAAATCCGAACTGTTTACCAGGTCGGCCGCCGTTAATTCGTCAATTTGTATGCTTAACCGATGCAAATGGCCTCCAGATCTGGTTCGCTTAAAGTTATGTTACAGGCCCGATGATAACAAACTACAAGAGTGTATCAGCCGGACATGAAGATATATTTTCTATATATTCTATTTATTTCAGCAGGAAGGGCCCAATAAGCAATGAGGCTCTATTTCATGACCTGTCATAGACAACTATAGAGGTTTAAGCATTTTTAGTTGCTCCCACATTCACATGCATATCTCATAATAGGCTTCTTAGCAACCATGCCAATTGCCGTGAATGTAATGCCAAAGATAAGCTGTTATTTCCGAGTTTGACCTTCTGGAGAATGAAAAATCTTTGAATCACCATCCATTTCAAATGTGTCCTTTACAGAACTTTACTATGAAAAGGAACTAAGCTGCCAGTAAATAATGCATGTTCCGGCACTTTGCTTGCAATTGCGGATACTCCAATCTCGGCTAAATTCAATATTAAATGGCAAAGCACAATACTTCAATAGTCAGACTAAGGCACCTTATAATTCTAAGATTTGTGGAAGAAATGTCTTCTGTCGGCCTGGACGGAGTTCCCTTCTTAAATTTGCTTTTGCCTTTTTAAAATATATGAGCACAATGCTACAAGGAGCAGTCGCCTGTAAAAGTTGATTCTAATGTTTCTTCTGCTGTGGAAGAGAATAAAAAAGCTTAACTTTATTATCTTGTAAGTACTGTAGTAGTTTTTTTTACTTTGGGGCTTTTGTTTTAATTGACTTAAACAGTTGTGTATCTGCCGAATTATGAAGCGTGAAGCATATGACCCACCCTCCCTCCCTCCCCACCAAATGGATGAAGAATGGCATATCATTGAAATGTATTGGCATATTTGCAGACTGGATAACATGACACTAATAACTGCAATGTGCAATGTTTGGTGAGCGTGAATGGGTCTGTTTAGGGGGAGGTTGGGCTGGTGGGTGTTATTGTGGAGGTTCGTTTCATATTGTGTTTTGTATAACACTTTGTGTTTCATTTGAACTTGTAACTATTATTGGCATATTCATTTTAGTTGGATGTCTTTCTGAATTCATGGTTTCACATCCTTCTATTACCATTACCGTCATGTTTTAAGCCGGCAGCGGACTGTATAATTGTTAAACAGATGGGCTGAGTTTAATCATTTTTCAGTTGGAGCTGCAGCAGGTTTTTTAAATTTCAAAATACCAATTACATGAATACTTAATACAGCAGAAATTCTAAAATCTGAAGTTCAATCATTCACAAATCCCTGTAATTCACGGATTATTGGCGCTTCGCGGCTGTGTTCTAATCCTGAATGGATTGAAAATGCTCCGTGGATTACGAGCGGGGATCTATAGAAATAGCTAGGGCTTAACACAGCTATAGGTGTGGTGCTGCAGGGAAATGCAGAGGTAATATTTTGTTATTTAATTTAACAGTGCTGACCTGATTTGTTTTGTAGAATAATATTTCTGCTTTTTTTTACTTGGATATCAATTCAAGGAGACTCGAAGCAGATTTTGCACCATTTGGATCTTAGCTCACAACCTTGTAATCTGCCAATTTATCATTATCCGTGAAATTGTTTCAGGTTCACGGAATCGCATGGCTCTTTCATCCCATAATCCGTGGCACACCATATTGGAGTGAAAATGTTTTCATGGATTATTTGGTGTTACCTCTGCGGTGCACTATGGATGACAGGATCTGCAATATGGTGTGCCCCCCCCACCCCCGTCACTGATGTAGATTTCTGTAATCCTATAAAGTCCACATAGGGGTGCTTCTTGTATAGTGGTGGCATTGTTAGGTTCAGCATTGTGCTATCTTCCCAGTAATCCAAGTTCCATATCTTATCATGGTGGTTATCACAAGTGCAAATCGCACCTTGCGTGTGTATGCACACCGTATGTAGCCAACCGTGCTAATCTGAGATGTGGGGGAAAGTCGACTCGTCTACGATGAGTACTCGGCCCAGTTAATGTTTCACCAGCCAGGTGGTGGGTTTGTGGTGATGTCCTCTGCACCATACTTTCGTGCACTATGCTGACCTTAATAGTTCTTCAAAAGCACCTGCCCCAACAGTGTATGCAGAATAAACAAGACCACAGTACAGTATTTGAAGTCTGCGATCTAGCAGTGTTTACCAATCATACAGTCCACTTGCGCTGTCGGGAATGGCTGAGTCCATTTGCTGGTGGTGGTGATGTGCTAATGAGGTGAATTCAAGCTACTAGATTATTTCCTGCAGGTGTTCGATCATTTGTCAAGCACCTGTGATTGTATATGCATGTGATTTTATTTTGTGTTCACTTTGTTTCAAAACCTTGGTGTGCAAAGACAGCTGTTAAATGTGATTGACCACAAATGAGCTGTTTTTTCTCATAAAAAATACTATAGATTTAATGTCATCTGTTCTCAAACTGAAGTGGACGGTTTGATTTTTTAAAGGGGTTGTAGTTTTTGCTTTAATGGGGCTGTCACACTCACCGTTATAAGGAATAAGTCCTCCATCCTCTCTTTAGACCTTGGTTGAATTTTAAAACGGTTTGCTCACGCTGGGTTTAAACAAAAAAAATACCAAATATACCCCAATTGTACGAACGGTATCTAGGTATATTCTTGGTTCTTTTGGTAAAGTCGCGTAGAAGGGAATCAGTAAAATAAGAAAAATATAAAACAAATACAATTCTCACGATGTTTCGACTGCAACACAAGCAATCATCATCAGGTGTGACTTTAGCGAAAGAACCAAGAATATGAATCCCTGCAGTCACGAAAGCTTTAAATCGGTATCTAGGTATGTTAGGAAATTGTTAATACATCACAGATCCTGCACGTGTGGGGGAAAAATCCTGGAAGTGACATCACAATGCTTTGCCTGTCATTCTCTAATGGTGTATTTACGACAGCCAGTAGAATTTCCCCTCCATAAGCTGTATGGACTACCAAGTCATTCGCTCCATATTTATCTGCAAATCATTTTTGGGTAAAAAAAAAACCTTTAGTTGTGATCCTGGCATCTAGGGTTTGCGTCCGTTTCTCACCCCAAGATATTTTGGGTGCTTGTTCACTGAACAGACATGGACATCAGCCCTCCCACAAGATGCACGTCTAGGAATCTAAGCTAAGTTGTCAGTCAACTGGCACAATATTAGGCTACTGATAGACATCAGCTCTGGGGGCTGTAATTTGTATGTGTCCATCAGATGATTGGCATGCAGCAAAATCATTCCTCGCAAAGCATAGTTGTGAGTACCGTCTGGTACCAGGAAAATAGCAACCTTTTGCGTTAGTTTTGTGATGTCACCTCTCAGGGCCATTTCCCAACAGGATGATGTGAAGTTTTGTTGATTGTTGGACCTTCAACATTGTTTATTCGCACAACATAATTTAATTCGTGATGCAATTTGAAATTTTAAATCTAATTTTATTTTCCTACGAATGCCCACATTTCCAGTTTGAAAATTGAGACTGAAGGTTCGCTTCTGCACGTAGGCACACCAATAAGCGGTTGGAATTGTCAAAGTATAAAGGAGGCTGGATAGTTTGAGATGCTGCCCCTTTAAAAACATGCCAATTTTAAAAAAATGTTTTTGTCATTGTCCCTCCCCAAACATATGCTTCACAGATTTACCGAGCGACATTTTATATATAAATATATTTTTAAATTTTATGTTTTGTTTCGCTGTTATTTTCACATTAATGTAGCGCTCCTTATTGCTCCCTCATGTAAATATGTGTAATCTGAACTTTTTTTTTGCTCTCTTAAACCCAATTATTCACTGTAATCCGTCCTTGATGTACAAAAGTGTAAAGTTTTAAAACAAAAAAACACATTTCTGTAACAGATAAACTCATGTTTGTGTTTCTAAACGGAGGTTTGAAAAAAAATACATAACTTTTCTGTGTGTGTTTCAGTCTTGCTACTGCATATAAAACAGATATTATGTTTTGTCAGAAAAAAATGTATGCACATGATTTTTATCCACGTGTTAATGCGGTGCAATTACGCTCCATGAACATTGCATTGTATTTTACATTTTCACAAACCCAGATCGTTTGGTAGGGGGCGGTGGGAAATGTCAAGTATTTGTGGCAGGTAAATAGGAGTTTAACAATTATCATGTCTACCCCAGCAAAGCAAATCAAATGGGATGAATGTCACGGCCACTGTTGTTGGCTGATTGGCTGCCGGAGTTGACATGAACTTATAACGTACAACATACACGATTTTAAAAAACATCGATTCTTTCACACGATTCATTGCATGTATCGATATTAATCAGTTAATCGTTATACCCCCCTCGACTGTGCAGCGTAAATATGTAATTTATCGCAGTGTGTGTCATGTGAAAAATGTAAACATGTTGCCTCCCTGCAAACGAGCGTGGATTTCAACATTGTAAGTGTTAGTAAACTGCTTTTTATGCATAATGCAGCTCTGATGAAATAAATAAATAAAAACGCATAAGCAGTGTGCAGTGGGTAAACCAGCTTCTGGATACACATGCAGATGTTGTATTTGTTTATATTTTAGGTACCCCTGTTACTTTTCCGTGAAGATAACTTAGCGTTGCCTGCATTCGTGAGTGGTCTGGTTTGGGCCATCGGATGGCAATTTGATTAATAGTTCCTGTTTTAAGAGTTTCAACATTCCAATTTCCTGATTGGCAAAAACGTTTAATTGACTACAAAGGCTGGTATTTTAAATGTATTTATAGTAGGATTATTGAAGGTAACATGGTTTTTTGAAGTCACTGAACATTTACGGTATCAGCCTATGGGCCTTACAGATAACATGAAATGCTGTTTATTACCACCATTAAACAAAACCGTTGATGCATGCTTTATTCCAATACCCTGTCGAATTGGCAAAAATAAACTTGTATTTTTGTATTTGGGGTTATCAACCTCCATTTTAGTGCTATCGTCCAGCGAGCCAATTCTATATTTCAGTGCATTTGATTTTTTTCACAATTACACATTAATAGTGTTTTTATTGTAAATTCTTTTCATTTTATGCTGCCATTTTTTCGGTACTTAATCTGAAATTTGAGCCTGGAGGTCGATTCTTGCCAATGCTGGTGTCGCCTGGTCTTCAACGTCGGCTTATAAGTTTCATAGCTCCCAGCAGGGAATGAACGGACAGCTGCTGTTGGGAATTAAATTGAACATTTGACCGAGTGCAAGACCTACCTTCCCCATTGTACTCTGATCTCTTAGCTTAAATACAAGTTCAATTAGTGTGTCCACATGCTCCTGGTAGACAACGATGTAAACAGAATAATATTTTTTTAATATATATACCTGGCTGCTCGGTATAATGTGCTGGTATCTTTGCCAAAAAAATGTTGTTGGAACCACCTGAAATTTATTAGAATTGTTGGTGGTGGTGGTGGGGAGGAGAGGTGTAAATGACACATTGCGTGTGTATCCCTTGAATTTGTTTGTATTTATCATAAGCAAGCTAATATTAACACCAGCAGAGCAGACCGAATCTATGCCAACATTGGCAAAGGTTGAAATGCCACAAGGAAGGTTGCAAGAAACCTCGCTAAATACTCTGCAAAGTTCCACTGGAGCGCGTATTATCAATCGGCTTGAAATAAACTTTTAAAGAGCATGGCTATGTTGTAGACGTCTGCGTGTGGAAAACCACACGCACATTAATGGCAGTGCAGGTTATCAAGGGAAATATGCTGTACTGACGATCTCGAGCAAAAGGGTGAAACTTGAACACAGTTTGGTTTGAGTCACTGCCGTGACATCATAGCCATGCTTTCTGAATTCCAAAACAATCTGGTGTCCAGAGTTGTCACTAGTGTTGACGAAAAATGAAACTTATGCCGAATCTGATTGGCCTGATGGTTTGTTTGGGCAAGTATTTGTTGTCCGAAACCATTGATGTGTAACGCCCACTGCAAGAAATAATGTGATGACCAGAATGGAGTGATAACTGATTGTTTTTATGGCTGATTGACTTGCGGGGAGTAAAAAATGTATTTACCAAATAATTTACCCATCAAGAGTATTTGATCTTATTTCACTTGAACAGATAAGTTTAGAGACAACCCTCCATATACACTGATGCTTTGGTGGTTTTTGCAAGATCTTTTGTGAACGTTTTTCTCATGTCTTGTGGCTGATGTGCGTTAATGTTTGTAAAGTTTTTTATTCAAATGTTTCAAAACAACACAGAACCCTCTTGTATGCAGTAGCAAGACTGTTTTAAAGCGATAGAAAAGTAAGATACATTCTTTTTTAATAACATTATACTTGGCCGTGTTTATGTGTTGTCACAACACAAAATGTACGTCTGAAGTGTTATCGGATTGAGTTAAACAAAACGGTCAAAGCTGTCCTCGTTTTATATAGTCCGGGCGTGATGATGTATTTCCATAAACCATAGCTGTGTAATGCAAAACTAAACAAAACATGGTTCTGCAGTATGGAAAAGTGAACTGGCGACGATAATATTGATGTATGACTCGTGGCCCATGTGGAAACCTAGAGGGTTAATCCTATTGCTCTAACACTAATTCACTCGGGTGCTCAGTCTTTATTCCTAACTTAATATCCTAGCCCTTAACCAAATGTTATTAACAGTATTTTAGCCTGTGGCCCAAATGCCGATATTACAGTCATGGCTTAAGTTCTAAGAATAATGAAGCCTAGATTTATTCTGACTGGGACTACGGTGAAATTGCGACGTATGGCAAGAATTATTGTTATGATTAATGGGTTATGCTAGGTGTAAAGGGTTACAGTTAAAATGGCTAGGATTAAATATGTTTTGATCTTTGATTAAGTCTGTTAGGACTAGAATAAGGCTATTTTTGGGTAAATGTAACATTTGCCGTGATGATTAATACTACTTCCGTTTGGCAATGGCCTCTGTAAAGGTCATGGTGATGGCGTGTGTATAAGAAGAGAGTTGAGGCTGGGGGGGGATCATGTCAAATTCATGACTGGCAGCTGGGGCCAAAGTCTAATTAACGTCGCTTTTCCACACTGCATCTCTTGGCTTTTGGTTTGTTGTTTATCGCATTCATGGACAGTGCCTCCGCAAGTGTGGGGTTTCGTTCGTGACATGACCTCGCTCCCCACCAGCACCACCCTAAGCCCCACCCCCCCCTCTTGCATCCCATCCCTTGCTTTTCCTTTCCACAAGTTCTCCTTGTATCCCAAACCCTGTGCGCCACCCCCTCTCCTCTTTCACGCACTGCTTATCTATTACCCCATCCTCTTTCCCGATAAGCGCTTTGCTGGGGACCCTGGGAGGTGTAAAGTATGAGGAAGTTTGCACCATGGCAGTGTTGATTGCTCGGGAGTTTCTTTCTTTGAGACGCAATTTAAGTAACGTAATCCTTTAATAGTGCGCGTTCGGCACAGCTGGTTAAAAATGCTTGTGTGAGTGCTTGTGAGTGTCTGTGCGGTGTGTGTACTGTCGGTGTCATCGTGGCAGTCGTGGCTTTCATCCGAAGCTGATTTGCCGACAATGCATACAGAGTTTATGACTGATACATTAACCTGGGCCAGGCTTCCTCTGAGGTCGTTCGGCCTGAACTGAGTAGCGCCTGTTGCTGCGTGGTCATCATTGACACTGCCGAGACCAAAGCAGCCAGACACGCACGCTTGGTGCTGTCCACACAAGCCCTCAGTTGTCATGGCAACTTTAATAGGTGCTTGCTAACAAAGCAGTGACATTTGTCTGTCGAATAATTCGTATGTATGGGGGATATGTGGAGTATCTTATTGGTTATGCACACATTTGACAAGTGGTATTTGGGCATGGCTTGGACATACTCTACATAAAATAAGCACGAGCCCCTTGTGTGCTGTGCCACACTTTCCCCTTAATTTTTTTTGGTAAACACGAGTTGTGTACGTGTGTGCAAAGTATGTCTGGGTGTAATTTATACCCAACTGTGTCGCTCCAACTGGTATTCTCCATCATGCACCCGAGTGTTTAGCACTGCCATGGCAGCGTCCTCTCCGAATCCACATTGGCCACGAACAGTATTAAATACTTTGACCGTTTAACTTGTAGAATTTGAATAATTAAATAAGTACATGTTTAACCTTAACCTGTGCCGAAATTATTTGCTGCTGGTTTCTATTGTTACATCTTGTGTGCGCGCATCACGATCCAGTGTACACATCTGTATATACTATGTAGTTTTACTGCTGCATCGTCGCCTTTTGCTTTTGAGTGAAGTTGGTTCAATTAAGTCGATCGCTTTCTCTTTTAGATTAAATGGTTTGTGGTGGAAATGTATTATAAAACTACCGCCCACAGTAACCCATGTGGTAGATAAACATTGACCCATCTACTACCCGACTCCCTATTCTGTCTTATGATGTACGGTACATTACCCTTGTTCAGTTTTATACAGGGACAGGTTCTCATCCCACATCAAACCTTTGGTTTGGTTAACACCCTGATCTTGTTAAAAAAGCTGAGTATTTTTGTCATCTCACAAATAGAATTGGATATATAATCCTCGATCTGTTACAGAACCGTTGTCTCAATTAAAATAATTATTCAGTGATAAATAAAAACTCTCCTTTCATGCCCTCCCCAAGTGTAATTTCAGCGATCACAAATGCGAGAGAAGAGTAATCCTGTCCAGCCAGTTCTCACCTTTTCTGGACTGGTAAAAACTGTCTCAAACAACTTCTTGGTTCTTTCGGTAAAGTCACGTAGAAGGAAATAATAAAATAATAAAAATAAAACATAATAAAATAATTCTCACGACGTTTCGGCCACAACGCAAGCAGCCGTCTTCAGGTGGAGAACAGGTCTGTCAAGGAGACGGAGTCTGAATGGAACGCCCCAGGCTTGGAGCGACTATTTATGTTGGTATGGAGGGGCGAAGAGCGTCTTGACAACTTCTGTAAAACATCATCCACTAAAAAAACATTCTAAACTGCTGCCCATCAAGACCGTTGAACAGTGGCACCCAAGCAATTCCATCAGGTAACAACCAACGCCGTTGAGAGGCTAAATAACCGATACTTTAATATATAACATGGTACTGTTCCAAAAATTACGTTATGGTCTCTGCACTGCATGCCACGTGAAGAAGAACATGTAACAGAGAAAACGGCTCGATAATGTGATGGCACGCAAAGGCAGTGTTTTGATTTATTTTGTTGACGTCAAAAGTCGCAGGTTAAGACAAACCTACCTCCCTTTTATTTAAAAACACAAAAGCCTCCACAATGCTGTGTTGGCAACTATATATTCGCTGTCGGCTATCAGCAGATAATTTGAATTTCTAAACTTGAAATTGTAATAAATATAAATAATGTTTAATGCCTGAAATAAATTTCTTAAGTGGTTTATTAATAATCATAGACTTGCATCAGTCCACTGTTTGGACGAAGGCCCCCCCCCCCCCACGCACCTTTCAGACATCTGGGCTGTTTGTGTGTTGTGTTTGTGTGTTTGACTTTCTCACCGTAGGTAGCCAACCATGTTAATCGGAGGTGCGGAGGAAGGACAACAAACTAAACACAAAGCACTTCTAAAGAAACGAGTTTTCAATCTAGATTTATAAGTGCATAGCTCCAGTGGCTTCCTAACATCGGAAGGAAGAGCGTTGCAGATAGCTACAGAAGCGCATCTGAAAATGCGTGGTGCAGTGACCGCCTTTGATCGATGGATAGACGAAAGGCCCTGCCGGGATGACCAGAGTTCGTGTGATGGTTAATGCTCCTTGACCACGCTCGTCCTTGCTAGCTCGTGCAGGGGTGTCCAGCACCAGTTCAAATATCACTCGCCACTAATTTTAGCTGTGGCTTTGAATACAATTTCAGGTCACTGGGTTAGTAGTGCACTGTGCAAAGCAATGCTCCACCACTTGACTCCGTAAGTAATTATAAATATGTTTAAACAATGTAATCATGAGAGTTAAATAAACCCACCTAGACATGCTTTTGTTACTTTGTTTAATCCTTATTTACAAGGTTCTACTGTGCACTCTGCAATTCGGTTTTTGCTCCAACATTGCACATATCTATAATTTCAATAAGGAATTCCATCATTGGACCTCCTTTGCCAGTACCAAAATATAATAGGGGTTTTCCCCTTTTTTCTGGCAACAAAACTGAAACCTTTTTACAAGGATTCATGTCTGTATTAACCACAAAACTTGCAGTCAAAATGCAAACAAAAAACACGCATTTTGACTGCAAGTATTGTGGTTAATGCAGACATGAATCCTTGTAAAAAAAGGTTTCAGTTTTTTGCCAGAAGAAAGGGGAAACCCCTATTATTATATTTTGGTACTGGCAAAGGAGGTCTAATGATGTAGATGCTTACCCCGAGCCCTCATTACTTTGATAGTGCCTTTTGGCATCATCTGGTCTAGCACCAATTGAGACTAGGCTCTAAAGAAAGCTGTCTCTAGTGTGGACCAATCAGTTTCAAGGACAATGCATATATTATAGTGTTTTTGTTTGCATTTTGACTACAAGTATTGTGGTTAATGCAGATATTCATTCCTTGTAAAAAAAAAGTTTCAGTTTTGATGCCAGAAAAAAGGGGAAACCCCTATTATTATAAAGGAATTCCATATATGGGGTCACAGCTTGCTCCTCTTACTGATGACGGTTGTTAAAGACCTGTCACGGACTTCCATGGTTGTCAAAAACATCCCATATGGAAATCTCAATCTGGAATCAGATTCATATGTGTAGTGAGCGACTTCCGAGACACTGTCGAGTAGAAGGCTTCTTATTTATTAAGAGCCCACTGGGCGATACATTGTGTAACGCATCTACACACAGGCGATCCTAACACTTAGCCCCATCTCCGGCTTCGCTACGCAAGCTGTTCGACCAGCGCAGCGACGGAGAGAGTCTTCAGAAGATCAGCCACGTGGTCGGAGACGAAGAGATGACGACAAGCAGCGACACAGCCAGGACCCCGTTACAGCCACAAACCTCTGGCTCAGTCCCCCTTATATTTGTCCCAGCCCGGCCAAGCTCCACCTCTGGGCCACGCCCCCTTTCCAGAACCTTTGAGCTGGTTCCCGGAGTTTCTCGACTGACTCCGCCTTTCACCTTTACCCCAGATACACCCCCCTGATAATAAGACACGTAATGCAGCTATGACTAATTAGCACTCCCACGCCTCTGTCCACCCAGCAGTATAAATGGGCACACCCCACGGTTGGTTAAAATCAGCAGATTGTGTGGTGCGAGTAAAGCGTGGATACGCCCTCTTGCAGGACTTGTAGGGAGCATGACAGCTGGCCAAATTAACCTTATGGCAGGACCCCGAGGTCCCGAATAAACAGAAGTCAAAATCGTAATTAATTTATTTTTGACGACTCCATCCCACCGCGCACATAAACGCATCAACCCACCTGGCACGGATTATTCTGTTGTCATGTCGTCCAAGCGCAGCGAAAGCGACGAATGCGCAGAAGAAACATGACTTTGATTAGCGCATCGTGTAGAGCTCGTCGAGAGGAATAGATTGCCGTGTCGTTCGCCTTCAACAGACATAAAATGACGTCGCAACGCAGTTTATGCGAGAGCCGCGGGTCCCGACAGAAGTTTCAAATACGCTCCAGAGCTCTCTCAGTTGGAGGCTAAAACTAAACTAGTTTTTTTTTTATTTTACCAGATTAGGGCCCATTGAGCTATATAGTTATTTTTCAGAAGCGACCAGGTCTCGCAGACGATAGCTCAACAAAGTTGCTTGCCATGCGGAAATTTATAGCAGCCAAATATTCTAAACGCATGTTTCTTAATGTGGAGGGAAAACCCGGAGGACCTGGATAAAAAGCCACGCAACCACGGGGAAGACAGGCACATGCAAACTCCAAATATGCAGGTGTCAGGGTCGGGATCAAACCTGTATCCCAGGAGAGGTGAGTAACATGTCCGCAGTGGAATGTGCATGCATGTTCAGGATTGCTCCTTTACCTATTATAATTGTTAAGCATTTTGTTTGATTTCCTGTTAGTATAACTTAACACGATTATCTATGTATTATATACAATCTTTTTTTAATTATATTTATTCATTGACATGTATCTTGGAATGTTACAATACATGACAGCATTATCTCATTGGGATTAGGGGCCGTCCATAAATGACGTCACGCACCTCGGGGGGAGGGGGGTCAGACATTTGTGACGATGTGTGACGAGGTGGGGGGGGAGGAGAAATGTGACGTCACATCAAAATGCGCAGCTTTAAATGAATATAGACAACACGTTCTACTTAATTAAATAGACGTTTTAATACATTTTCTCCTACAACATCAGAGTACAGCGTCACATTAAATACGCACTACAATAACAATAGTTTAAAGCGATTTGAAGCATGTTTTATTTGGGAGGGGGGCAGAGCTTAGTGACGTCATATTTGAGGGGGGGTCTGACTTTTTGTGACGATGGGGGAAGAATCGGCTCAAGAATCGTCCAAAATCGCGTGACGTCATTTATGGACGGCCCTTTATCCTTTCTTGACCCTTAAGTATCCTCTATCGCGGTCACTCATTCCTCAACCCTTGCATTCCCCCCTTCCATTTAAATAATTATATTTTGTTACCGTTGCTTTCACTATGTTAACCGGCTTGAGTGAAGGCTCTATAAATATAAAATTAGATAAGGAGAGTGGTGGCCACCTCTGAAAACTGGACTCAATTACCAAAGCCCTGTTTTGGAAACATGGGCATGTGATTCCAAAACATTCGCAGATTAATGGTCTACATTTAGACTTGTTAAAGAAACTGGGTTTTTTCGATTTAAAGCTTTCGTGACTGCAGGGATTCATCTTCTTGGTTCTTTCGGTAAAGTCACGTAGAAGGGAAGTAATAAAATAAAACATAATAAAATAATATTTTATTATGTTTTTATTTTATTATGTTTTATTTTTATTATTTTATTACTTCCCTTCCACGTGACTTTACCGAAAGAACCAAGAAGAAAAAAGAAACTGGGCTTGAGTAGGACACATCACGAGAAGGGATTGTCAAGATTGCCTGGCAGCTGAGGAATTGAACGCGTTCAAGAGGGCATTGTGGAGATGAAAAGATTTAAACTCTAGTTTTGGAGGTGCTCTGTGGATCATTACATCATCGCTTGATCGTGAGATGGCGGTAGCTTGGAAGCCATCCAGTAGTGAATTGACCATGGCTGATGATAATTATTTTCACGAGTCATTCACACACGCGTCTTCGTGTTAGGTTTTCAATCGCAATCCTTTATTGAGTAAATCAGCTGTTATTAATGCTCATAACAGAAAATTATCTGAATTGTTAACCGCAATTATATGCTTTACACCATCAATGTTGCAAAACAAATTTACGCACC